AATAAAATTGACAATACCAAGTGTTGAAAAGAATGTTCAGAAATAATTTCTTGTAGGAATGCAAAATGGTGCAATCACTTTGAAAAACAATTGGGTAGTTTCTTTTTTTATATTTTTGTATTTATCAGATAACCCAATAATTCCAATCCTAAGTATTTACCAAAGCAAAATAAAAACTTATGTTCCCATCAGGTTTTGATGTTTATAGACTTTATGGTATTGTTTATTTATAATCATCCAAAACTGAAAGTAAACTGAACACTTGTTACCTAGTAAACACATAAACTATGGCACAATCATGCAACAGAAAATTGTTGAGAAATAAAAAGAAACAAGTTAGACAAGCCAGATCCAAAAGATTCTGTCTGATTTTCTGTAAGGTTGACTTATAAGACATTCTGGAAAAGACAAAAATCTAGGGGTCGAGAACAAATCAAAGGTGGGGATGGGGAAAAGGGTTGACCACAATGGTGTAGCACGAGGGAATTTTAGAGGGTGGACACATTCTGTATCTTGATTGTGATAGTGGTTATATGATTATGAATTTTTCAAAACTCAATGTACTGTACACCAAAAAAATTAAATCCACTGTACATAATTTTTGAAATAAATAAATATTTTAAATATTATGTCTGTGGTTTTCACATTTTTGCAAATATTATCACAAAAATAAAATATATAATCTTTTGTTAAATTCTTAAGACTTTTTGAAAAACAAATGTAAGTGGTAGGTCTGGGGAGTAGAAAGGAAAGATCTGAATATATTTCTGAGCAGAAAAGAAGCCTCAGTGGAGAGATAAAATAGAAACACACAAGAGAGAGAAGTTAACTAACTGAGCAAGCTGTATTAAATTTTAAGTACCTTTCAAATCATGGATTAATCATCACTTTCTCAAAGCCTTTCAGGCGCCCCAAACTGGGAATTCCCCTTTCCTCATCTGAACCCGCATACTCTATACCCCCTCTTGTTACTCCTAGTACTTACTGCCAGATAGAACTGTTAATATTTCACATCTCTTATCATCCCCTCCACCTGTTCCAACAACCCATTACATTATAAATTATTTGAAGGCAGAGTTTCAGGGGAAATTTATATTCATTTCATACGCAGTGCCTAGCATAATCCCTCAAATGTGGTAAAAACAAAACAAAACAAAAGCCACAGTAAGAATACTGAATGAGTTACTACATAATGCAGAAAATAGTAGATGGATTATTGACTGGTTCTTGCATACGATATCCCTTGTATTACAATCCTGTATAAATGACTATCACACAATAGCACTTTGTTGTCAAATGTATTCCACTCCAGATTCAGCTCAGTCTTGACCTCAAAGCAACAAATAGCTGAAAAACTGTCAAGGAATCACTTTCTGACAAAAATGTATTATTAAAGCATTCACCTCAGGAAAGACCACCCAATTCTAGTTCCCTTGAAAAGAGTTATAGAAAAAACAGATGGTCCTATTCAAGGTGGTGAGAGGGAGGGGGTTCACTTTGCCTATTCGAAAGAAATCAAAAATTCTGAGATACACATATTTGACGTGCAAATTTTCAATGTTCAACCCTTTCAGTGATCTCAGCTTTTTCCCCTAGGGTTTAGGGGAAACAAATCACATGTAGATAAAAATATTATCTGAATACGGAATATATCACTGCACTGTATCCTTTATGGCATTATACTCCGTCACAGAGCATTATTAAAGCATCTTTTCTCATGAATCAGTCTAATGTCCATGTCACTGAATTTGCACTGTTAAACTTTCAGTGTAGGTCCTCTTCCCTGATTATGGTACACCTCTAGCATCAAGGACACAGGAATTTCATTACAAACAGAATTTAAGTATCATGAGAGTGAAAATAGAATCCATTACTATTTTCTTACAATTGAAAGTAAAGACTGTCCTTCAGAACATATCGAGAGAATATTTTTTCCCAGATATATATGAATAAAAGATGCTATGGACTGAATTGTGCCCCTCCCCCAAATTCATATGTGATGAACTTAGAGATGAACCCTTTAGGACCTAATTAGGTTTAGATGTCATATAAGTAAGGTCTCCATGACAAGATTAGTGTCCATTTAAAAAGAGACATCACATGGGACTTCAATCCCACTAAAATTGGTGGTAAAAATGCCATCATAGGGCCGGCACTGTGGCATAGCAGGTAGAGCCATCGCCTGCAGTTCCGGCATCCCATGTGGGTGCCAGTTCGAGTCCCAGCTGCTCCATAGAGTTTCTGATTCAGCTCTTTGCTGTGGCCTGGGAAGGTAGTGGAAGATGGCCCAAGTCCTTGAGTCTCTGCATTCAGAGGAAGCTCCTGGCTCCTGGTTTGGGATCAGCACAGCCCCGGGAGTTACAGCCAATTAGGGAGTGAACCAGCGGATGGAAGACCTCTCTCTCTCTCTCTCTCTCTCTCTCTCTCTCCACCTCTCTCTCTGCCTCTGCCTCTCTGTAACTCTGCCTTTCAAATAAATAAATAAATCTTTTTTTTAAAAATACCATCTTAATTGTTAATGTGATCATATTAAGTGTTAAAGTGAACATATAGAGAGGATTAAGTGTAAAAGAGATCATATAAATAATATCAAGTGCCTGGTAATAATAATAGACAGAATTAAAAAGGAAGGAAAGTCCAATATGGGAAGCAGTCCACACAGCAGACTCCTAGAATGACATTCACTGTAAACAACACTCTGACCTCAGAATCAACCCTTGAGGCTTCCTGGTCTGGCTGAAAGCCCTGTGAGAGCATTTCAGGCATGGAAAGCCAAGACTCTGGCAAAAAATATCCTACATGAAGGATCTCTGTGTGTGAGATCCCAGTGGAAAAAGGGGCCATCAAAGAAGGATGTACTTTTCTCCGAAGGGAGGAGAGAACTTCCACTTTGCTTACTGCCTTGTCTAAATACTGATGGTGTTTGTGGTCACAAAAGGCTACTATAGTCTTTAGCAGCTCATGGCAAGAGCCTCGGGTGATCACTGATGTCATAAATAAAAGTGTCATAGAATGGCGGATGTCTTAAACAGCACTCTGGCCTCAGAATCAGCCCTAAAGGCATGCGGATCCAGCTGAAAAGCCCATGAGAGTATTTCAGGCATGGAAAGCCAAGACACTCTGGCAAAAAAAAAAAAAAAAAAAAAACAACACCTAAATGAAAGATCTCCGTGAGTGAGATCCCAGTGGAAAGAACAGATCATCAAAGAAGGAGGTACCTTTCTCTGAAGGGAGGAGAGAACTTCCACTTTGACTATGACCTTGTCTAAATATGATCAGAGTCGTGAACTCAAAGGCTTCCAGAGCCTTGG